TCTACGCACATTTTTAATTATGTTGTGGCGTTCAAGGTTTTTTCTATCGCTGCCGCTGCCGCTGCTGTTGCTGCCGTTTTTTGTATATTTTTTTGTTGCTGTGCAGGCCGCTGCCCACTCCTCCCCCTCTCCCTCTCTCTCGCCACACACACGCCTCTGCCCCTTACGCACTTTGAGCCAATTTAATTGTAGGTCGCTCTCCAGCTCTCTCTCTAACACTTCTCTGCCTCGCTCCCTCTTTCACCCTCTCCAATTTGGATGCGACTTGTGAATATTTTTTTTTTGCTGCTTTTTGGCGTTGCGTTCGCACAGAGTGAAAGAGAGATAGAGATTGATGAAGAGTGTGACTGAAAGAGAGAGAGAGAGGAGGATAGGCCCAGTACATGGCCTGACGACAAGTGTACATAGGCAATAGTTTGCATGGCTGTATGTATTTCCTATATACATACATATGTAGCAACGAACGACATCCATTAGCTTTTTCTCTCTTTCTGATTTGTTGTAATTTTTGTAGTTTTTATTCAGAATATTTTATGTATTTTTTTGTTGTTGTTGTTGTTGCGCCCTTCTGCATGTGTCTAAAATTTCGACAAATCTACACGTGCCGTTGTGTGTGTGTGTGTCGGTTTATTTTATTCCGGAATTATCAGCATTCGGTTCTGTTCTGGGTCTGTGATGTAATACATAGCTCTGGCTATGAATTGACAAATTTTTGAGTGATTTTTGGCTGCCTGCAATTTGATTTCAGTGAATTTTTGTATGGCAATCTTGAATTTTACTATGAATATGTTGTTTTAGTAGCAAGAATATGCCATTATGAGAAATTTCTACTACAAAATTTGAACATATTAAAAAAACATTCTTCAATTTTATTTTGATCTTTCAAATCTTTTATATTTATAACTGCAATCCTTCAGCTGGGGGTGGATTCTGGCTCGATTGGAAACTCAATTCAATGGTTTTCTATTATATCTGTATTTAAATATCTATCGTTTTGTAGTTATTTATTGTTTGTAGAAGAACAGATTAAAAATCTATCCCCCCAGCATGCTAATAAATCATTATTTCAATATTGCAACGAAACCTTGCCCAAAGTATTTAAAATTTTTGGTATGTTCCCATAACTTCCATTTCCTCTGGCTATGTATTTGGGCCCTATGTCATATATGCCATTTTTACGGCTCTTCAGCACACGCACACGCACACACACACATAGCACAGCACACTCTCGAATGGCAATGAAACTTTACACATTTCAACTGTTCAATGCAGATAAAACGCCAAAGAGAAACAGAGACAGCTAGAAAGAGAGAGAGAGAGAGAGAGAGAGGGGGGAGAGCGAAAGAGACACAAAGATGACCGCCCATGAAATGCGTTTCCTATTTGTGCAAACTATTGCGGCAAGGCAACCATAGTACACACTCCACCCACACATTGGAGTCACTGCTTGCTGCTGCTGCTGCTGCTTGCTGCTGCTGCTTGCATGCAAAAGTTTCATTTCGTTTGCGTTTGCTCTTCGGATTGTTTATCTGTGTGTGTGGTTGGTTTGCCTGCATGTGTGTGTGTGCGAAGTAGAGCAAAAGGCAACTGGCAATTAGCAACCCAACCGGGCAATGGTGGGCAGAAAAAAGTTGCACGAAAAAAGCCAAGACTCTTTCCAAAGACCGAAGCTAGAGATACTCTGAAGATCGATCGTTTCTATAACGGCTGCACGATCCGGAACGTTATAGTTATCGTTTGAGCTACTATTAGTAAAGTATTATGGAATGTTTTTCAGAAATAGTACGACCCATAGCCATACCTCAAGATATATTGAGGATGATAATTTTATGGCAGTCAGTTGCAAATACTTCCTTCTATATGTGGCGCAAATACCCCCTCAAAGGGTATACAGAAAAATAAAAGCTACATAGTTTGCCAAACCCCAACAGACGTTGCACATAGCTCCACAAATATGTATCTATATGAACACATATGTACATATGTAGATACATACATAAAGATAGGCCTACTATGCTCATGTGGTACGTTTCGCTATGTATAGTCAACACTTAAGTGCCATGGAAACAACATACCCAAAAAAAAAAAAAACAAAAAACTAAATAAAGAGAAGCAAATGAAGAAAGAAAAAAAATGTCACTTTGGCTGACGCTGACAGGTTTCCATTCGGTCGGGCACTCCCCTTTCAGCATAGCCCCTCCACCACCCCCCACCCACTTGTCTGTCACATTTTTGCAGTGTAGAAAACCTTTATTCGTGTTGGCCTTTACGTTATTTGATAAGTCTAATTAGCAGCTCATAAAGACGATTATTTCATACGAAGTTTTTTATGGTCAAGTTTTTCATGTAAGTTTCATTTATTTTTGAGATTATAATTTTAATGCCAAGTGCAGACTTTGGCGGAAACATGTGCGTGTTTTGGCTTAATTGCTTCAAAGGGATAGGGTATTAAAAAAAAAAAAAATATAACTGTAATATTAATATTATATATTATATTATTAGAGGCATTTACATAGAGGTGCAGCTGTAGTTTTCTGCCACAAAAACGATGCATGTCTTCACTTGTTTTACTGTTTTTACAAACGCAAAAGCTCGACTTCGTTTCCCTTCATTAAAGTGCAGATTCTTGTCATGGAATACAATAGCAGTTTTTTTTTAAACACTTCCTCAAAAACGCACTTCTCATATTCGTAGGGGAAATACATATCTACTCAGGAAAATAAATAAATAAATAATTTTCAATGATGACGTCTCAATTGGCCCTTTGCCTCTTCGCTTTCGCCCCCCGTCCAAGTTGGGACAACTGTACTAACAATCATGCAACTGGTGAGCAGTTGTTGCACACTCAGTTGCATCGTTGTGCGGACGTACAACAGGGTATTACGAGTGCATAAAATATATCCCAAAAACAAGAAAACATAGAAGAAAAAAACCGATTTGCTGGGTATCTGAAACTTTTAACACAAAAGCTAGGCTAAGTCACTCTTTCGTATTGTACTTGTTGCAACATAATGTTGCATTTTCTATGTTTGTACTCGTATTGTTGGTTCTCCGTAATTGTATTGTGGTTGCTGCTTGCTCTTTGCTTTCTTGGTAATCGTTGGCATTAAAATTCAGGCAACTGCAGTGGCAAGTCATAAAATTGAAACAATTATAACGAGCAACAGAGAGAAAGGGGGGCGGCGGCGGGCATATCATAGACACTTTACGCAAGTGCCGACACCGACAGGCAGCAACAACAGCCAGAATGAGAGTCACTTGCATTGCGTCAGTTACAACATCCAAGCAGTTCAGACTAGACCAGACCAATATGCGCGCTCTCATAGTACACGTTGGACGAGCGTAGTGTGTGTGTGCAAGGGAGATGGGATTGGTTGGGCCCCCCATATTCTAAGAAACAAACTTAACGATTGTGCAAATGCACGTGAGAGAGAGCATGCGAGACGGAGGTGTGAGTAGGAAGGAGTGTGAGTGTGAGTGCCAGAGGGAGACGCACTTCCGACAAGTGAAAATGCAGCGCAAAAGAAACGAAGCAAGACACAAAAAGAGAAACAAAAAAAAAAATAGTTGTGCATTTAATTAAATGCGGAAGACCCCAACAGCAACAGAAAAACTACACGCAATAGAAAACCCAGAGAGGGAGGGAGGTCGTGTGAGCCAGAGCGAGAGGGGGCGACCAGAAACAACAACAAAAAGAGAGTACACACAACGCCACAAAATTTGGAACACGCTGCGCCACTAAGTAGGTCAAAGTAGCAGCAACGCTGGCAGAGCAGTCAGCAGCTGAGGCAGCGGCTGAATGAGGGGATTGCGTGTCAACTGCGACGCATTTTTTGGCTTAGATGAAACGCCAGCAGCAGCAGCAGCAGCTACAACAGCAGTGTGCAGTGGATGAAAAAAGCGGCAGGGGCAGAGGAGCGCAGTAATATATTTTTAATTTATGCACAGCCCTTAGAAGGGGATGTGTGACAGAGGCATAGGCAGGAGGGATTTATGGGGGATTAAAACACCCTTAAAGCAATTATATTCAAAATGTTGTTTTTACAAACAGAAACAGGTAAGATCAGGCTATGGTCGAGCATTCCGGCCTATATATTATATATTAATGTTATAGCTGTAACATTAATCGAAGATTACTTTTTATAGATCATCGTCCAACAGCTTTATATATAGCTTAGGTAAAATATCTTGTCAATCCCTTGGATCCCTTAGTTCTTACGAGTAGGAACACGGGCACTATAAGGGATCCTAAGCGCTTTTTGTACCAAAATGGTTAAAAACTATCCTTCCGGAAAGAAATATCCTGCCTACGCCACTGATTTAAATGGTATACATACTTTCATATGCACATATGCGTTTACATATGTATGTACATATGTATAAATGTCAACTAAGCTACTTTTGCTTTCTTGCTTCATTTTTCTTTTCTTTTTTCGCTGGTTTTCTTCTTCTGCTTTTCACGCATTACCGTTATTAATATGCAACGCTGAGTCGAGTGTCATAAATCATACGCAAAGTGCGTAGACAATTTTTTTTTCGTTTGTGTTGCGTTGGAAAAAATTGTTTTTCTTATTTTTTTTTGCATAAATTATAATTGTAATTAGAGGCAGGGTTTTTTTGTTTTGGTGTTGGGGTTGTTATAGGGAAGGGACGTACCTGTAATTGTTTGCAAATGTTTGTGGACGACACTTTCTAAAACAACATTTTTGCCCTTACGCACTTATTTTTTGGGAGGGGAAACTTTGGAAAAGGAGGATATGGGTACATAAGTATCTTATTGGTAGCGCTACATGAATACAAAAAGTTTGTAATACAGTCTACGTTTGGTATGAAAAAGTGGAGGGAGAAAATCCAAGAGATTGATGCTAGGAAATTGGCTTTGATGTGGCTGATTGATTGATTCGAAAATTCATCCGTCTTATACATAGATAGATCTATTTATGTATTTATTTTCATTTTATTTGTTGAATTTTTGAGATTCAGTTGTGTTTAAAACTCACCTTAATATCCAATTGCAAATTTTCGCATTAATCCAAAACCAGAATCCAGATTGAATCCTCAATTTGTAAAACTCTTTACAAATGTTAATTTTGAATTTCTTAAGTTTTTCCTTCTTCCTCATTCACTTCACTTTCCTACACACTTTCTTATGCCAAAATGTTTCTGTTTTTATATATTTTTTCAATTAATTATACTTTTGTAATTATCAAAAATTGTTTTCCAAATACTTTTCGATAATATTTTATAAGCATAGATATATGTATAGATATATATGTATGTATTTTAGAAATATATTATTAAGATGTTTGTTTGTTTTCAGTTTTGTTTTGTTTTGTTAAGCTTTTATGTTGCTTGTTATCGAAACGAAATTTTTATGCAAACTAACACACACGTTCTCTGCTGCTGCTGTTGTTGTTACTGAGTGATTACTGTAGCGGTTACTGTAGTATTTTTTTTTACTGTAGTTGTTGCTGTTGTAGTGTTGCTGTGTATAGTATTGCGGTATGTCCGAACCAATAATTTTGAAGAGTGACCAATTTTGTTGGCTTAAATTTTTGATGCTTTTTGCGTTTGTTCCAAAAAGATTTCCTTGGGTTTTGTTTTTTCTTTGATTTGTTGTTTACGACGGTTTTTTGGTGTGATTAATTAAAATTTTACATTGATTTTATTAAATTTTTAGTTTCCTTTAGTTGCAAAACATTTTCCCGTGTGGACGTTTGAGATAATTTTTCTTCAAATTTATATTATTAATTATTTGCACGCAGCTTTGCCAAAATTCGCTTTTGTTTTAAATTTTAATTTTGTTGGTGTTGAATTTAGACCAAAAATAATTTAATGCCAATTTGTAAATTTTTGCGTTGCGTTTGGTTTTTCATAAAGTTCTTCTTCAGTTCATTTTTGCTTTAATTTATTATAAAATTCTAAAGAAGTTAATTTCAATTTTTTGTCATTGATTTTTAGTTGGTTAAATGTTCCAAATTAGTTGCATTTTGTTGCATTTGCCGGTTTTGATGTCGTTGAATGTTTCTCTGGCCGTTGTTGAGGTTGTTTAAATTTCTGTTGGTTTGTGGAGTCATTTTCACAGTGACATTTGGCTGAAAGTAAAGAATGGAAGAGATTAGAGTTTAGCATCAAGTTTTTGTTCTTTCTTTTTAATTTCGATTACGTTTTCCAGCTTATTTTAGTTTTAATGATAGTACACACAAAATATACAAATTCGATGTACATAAATATGTATACTCTACTGATAATAAATATATACAATTTATATATTTCTACTCCAAGCACATTTTTATACAATCAGTTGTATTTTCATATATTTAATGTATGAATTAAACGATGAGTTTCACGAGTCTCAGAATGAAATAAGCTTAATCGTATTCCAAACATAGTTTTCTTATCAGTGGAAGTCGACCCAACTCGTAAAGTGAATTGCACAAATCGATTTGTTATCGGCACATAATTCATTCTCTTGTTTCTCTGGGGTTTAATTCCCACTTGGCTTCTGTCAAATGTCTTTTAAATTTCCAGCTCTCCAGAGAATCTTCGATTTCCCGTTAGAACAGCTGTGCACAATAATTGGAATCAACACTTATCGCCGGATATTGGAGTAGTCTGTTAAATGTAAAGTTCTGAGTTCCGGGTTTGGTTTATCATGGGGCTTTTGGGAAGGGGTTAAGAGCTATTCAAATTCATTTTGTGTTTTCTTTATTTTCAAAATGTAACAGTTTCTTGCAGTTCTTTCACTAAACAAATAGTTTTACGTTATTGTTCTGAAACTCCAAGGTATTTATTTTTTTTATTTTGTACTATTAACATTTATGTATTATTTTACTCCACGCAAATTGGTTTCCGATTTTCATAGCACCGCTTTGATCACGAAACAAGTGTCCTTTTTGTTTTTCTAGCTTTTAGGTCTCTATGCACTTCTTGCACTTCTCTCTTTCCATTTCTCTCTTTACCACTGTATTCCTTCTGCACTTTCAACACACATACAACATGCACATAAACACACACACGCACACAGACACAGAGGGGACATTTTGGGCAGTGCCAAAAAGGGGTTCAAATTCACTTGGATTTTTCGCCTTGTTTATGTTCTGGTTGTGCCTCAGGAGGTTGTTGTCGGGCAAGTGAGGGGTGGGGTGTGTGTTTGTGTGTGCGCCAGGGACAGGGTACGGGGTACGGGGAGGGTTGTTTATTGTTCGCCTTATTGTTGTTGTTGCTATGCGCTATTGTTGTTGCTTGATTAAAAATGCAGACGGTTTTTCGTTATGCATAAAGTTTTTGCTTCACTTTTATTTTTCGCCGTTTGCTTTTGGTTTCAGTTTGTGATCCCGTTTCAATGCGGCTGCTGCCTACTGCGATTTTACCATTGATTTGCACACACACACACACACACACACACAGTAGCAAACACGAACTGCTTGCATGTTTTGAGAGGATTGCACTGCTTGCGCGTATTGTTTGGGGCTTTATAAGGATTGCAGTTTCCTTTGGGAATTACTCAATGAATATTTATGGAACTTTTGCCAAGTGCAGTTTTTAAATGTTAAATGTCATTTCTCTATAGAAATTTATATATTTTTGTGTGTTTTCACACAGATCCAATTGCTTTTGTTAATTTCACTCTTTGACATTTATTTATACATTTTAAACATTTTAATAGACAGCCAAGCCAAATTACCTTTCAATCACTTGTTAAAAAACACAGTTTAAAAACACTCACGCAGATCCAGTTATACGTTGTTTCTTTTTGATTTTGGTTGAAACACAAACCAAAAATGTAAATAATAAATGAAAAACTGTTTTAATGCCGTAAACCGTTTTCTGATCGGGAACACTGCAGTTTTCCCACAATAACCATGTACAGAAAATAAATAATAATTATTGTATTTTTTTATGGCTGTTCGATTATCGTTTTGGTTCGAATATTTTTGATATTTTCGTCAGTTTTTTTTATTATTATATTTTATTTTGTTTGGAAATATGGAATATATTGAATTTCTTGTATTATTTTGTGCTGGCGGCCGCTGCTTCTTAGCTTTTCAGCTGCTTTTTACACGAGAGAGACGATAGAAATGCACACAACGCTGCTGGCTGCCGCTGCGAGCACACCGAAACCACCGAATAGACCGAGCCGAATAGACGAGTATGAAGTTCAAAATTTTCGTTTATGGCCTATCAACCGGGCGCAAGGCAGCGGCAGCGGCAGCAGCGCCGGCAGAGAATACCACCACCAGTCAGAGGAGCAGCAATAGCAGCAGCAGCAGCAGCAGAGTGAGAGTAAACGCAGCATTGAGCGCAGCAAAGCGCAGCCAAAGCATAGAGCGGCGGCTCTCACAGTACAGTGGGTCGAAAGTGGTCTGAAAAATAATTTGCACTTGAATTACTTTTTGCTGTTTAGATCCGTATATATGCTAAGCCCGAATCAGGGAATCAGGGATATTCGTATGGAAACGATATAAAATGTAGCATCTGGCTTTTAGCAGACGAGTACTCATATCCGAAAACAAAAATACCGATAGATACTAAAAGAGCAGCCGATGGTATTTTCCCAACTCAAGCGGAATATAAAATTATTCCATCTTTTGTCGAATTTTTTGTATGGAATTTTTTGTCGACAAAAAATTCAGCTGATCTGAGTACTGGGCTTTACTCCATTCTAAGCAAAAAATGGTTGTGTACCACACGTTGCTCTGTTGAACAAACTAAGATAAACTGAAACGAATTTATCTGTTAATAAATTTCAAACATTTCCCATAAGCTGGCGCACCAGTGTACGTGGCAGCGGTGCTGCGTCGCTGTCGCTAGCAGCAACAAAACAAGTTTTCGCCTGCGCTGACAGCGATTTTCGGCTTTTTTGCATTGGTTCGCCCCCGCCGCTGCGTCTTGTGTGCATGTATGCGTGTGTGTGTGTGGTGTGTGGGCTTTTGTGTTTGCTTTGGCTTTGCGCCCATTGCAAATGCAAAAGTTTTGCATTGGTGTGTACGGCGCGACGCGGCAGCGAAAGAGCGCAATCATCGACTCTCTGCTTTTGTTATGTTATGCTCTCTGAGAGTCTCTCGCGGTCTCTCTCTCTCTCTCTCTGTCCCACTCTCATGTGGCAACCACTTGCGGTTTTTGTTTCCTTTTGCGCTATTAATCCAATTGGAATGCAGGCGGCAAGCTTGCAATTCTCTTGCAAAAGGGAAGCGAAGCTTTCAAGCAGGATGTGTGTACCGTGTGGGAGGAGGAGGACACATTCTCCACAGAGCGCAAAGATGTAGTTAGGTAAAAACAATGCGAATAGTGGATAACGGTCTGGTTTCGACAGTTATCTGGGTCTGACTCCTCTCCCGTGATGCAATATCCCCTCTCTGCATTTTCCCTTATCCTGTGTGTGTGTGTGTATGCACAGGACCAAACCACATTGCGGATGAGTCCCTTCCCTGGGGGTGGGTTTCTCTCCCAGTCTCTCTCTGATCCTGCTCTCTCTCTCTCTCCTGGCAGAGAGTTACATATACCATCCGCTCCTTGCAGTCGAAATTGCATAAGGTACGACGTGAGGTAATTATGGGAGAGGAGCGAGCTCCTTTCAAGCGGAAAATGCTGCCGGAAAATCTCATCCAGGAATAGCAAACGGTAACTTGGTCTTAACCTATTCCCCAGCGGGTGGTACAAGTACACGGTCTCCAGGGCATAAGATGTACTAGTTAAGGGTTTCGTTCAGGCATTCCTGGAAACGGTATTGTAGGACTCGCATGAAACGGCTATTTAAAGATTGAGGAATTGCCCAATTGTGGATGGTACAATTTGATTCGAAAGGGTTTATTTAGGGGCTCGTTCAGGTTCAGGGGCGTGTATAGACGGGCCCGCTTATGGACTTTAAAGGATGCAAAATTCCCAAATTGAGTATTGGACGATTTGGTTGATTTTCGATGAAATAATTATAGTGTGGGATGATTAATTGAACCTGATTTGATTTCCCTAATATATAAATATCATTATCCAATATGTACCAACAATTGTTTTAACATTTTAAACTTGAATTTCGTTGTCTACAAAGAAGCTATCAAAGCATACTGTATTGTACAATATCACTTAATTTTCAATGAGACTTACAATTTGTATACAATCCCAACAATTGCTATAAGTACTTTGCATTTCCTTTGAAGTCTG